GATTTTGTGATTTGGTGGGGTAAGACTCATCCAATGGTGGAGTTGGAAAGGACCACGAGGGTCATCTAGTCCAACCCCCTTGCAAAGCAGAAATATTTTGCCCCAACTTGGGGCCTGAATCCATGATCCTGAGACTACGAGTCTCACGCTCTACCAACCGAACCAGAGTTTTGCACATCTGAATTTGACATGTAAAAATAAAATGAAATCCCACCAAGCAGTGCAGGAATGTTCTGGGTCTCCCTTTCCCTTAGAAATGTGGAACTTGTGGCTTATTTTCCCCCGCGGGAGCCAGATTCCACATATTTCATACTGCAACGTGAAGCTGAAGCATGCCTTCCATTCCTGGGCCAAATAAGTTCTCACTGCGGTTTGACCATCACACTTGCTCAAAAGGGCTAAATATGGGAAGCCCTGAATGGGGCATTAATTTCCCCCCTGATATCTCTTCAAAAAATAAATTTGGATGCCCAAGAGCCTTCCCACCCCAAGTGGAAAAAGGTCCCCCAACGATCCTTATTATGACCTGGGTCGAATCGCTTTGAAAGCGGCACAGAGGACAGGACAAAGGGGGGTTAAACTAATCAGAGCAAACAAAGTTCCCTCCACCAATAAACTACAGTCCAAGGAAGGCAGCAATAACAATCTAAGAGCTGGTCTGGGGGAAGATTGTCAAAGAGGCTGACAATTATATGCTTAGACCAGGCGTCAGAAAACGTTTTCAGCAGGGGACCAGTCTACTGCCCCTCGGACCTTTTGGGGGGCCAGATTCTACAGTGGTACCTCTGGTTACGTACTTAATTCGTTCCGGAGGTCCGTTCTTAACCTGAAACACCACTTTAGCTAATGGGGCCTCCTGCTGCCGCCGCGTCGCCAGAGCACAATTTCTGTTCTCATCCTGAAGCAAAGTTCTTAACCCAACTACTTCTGGTTTAGAGGAGTCTGTAACCTGAAGCGTATGTAACCCGAGGTACCACTGTATTTTGAAAAAAAGAAAAGAAAAGAACGAATTCCTATGCCCCACAAATAACCCAGAGATGCATTTTAAATAAAAGCACTCATTCTACTCATGTAAAAACACGCTGATTCCCGGACCGTCCGCGGGCCGGATTGAGAAGGCGATGGGGCCGGATCCGGCCCCCGGGCCTTAGTTTGCATACCCGTGCTCTAGCCAGTGGTTCTCAACCTGTGGGTCCCCAGATGTTGTTGGACTACAATTCCCACCATCCCTGAGCTCTGGCCTTGCTAGCTAGGGGCGATGGGAGTTGTAGTCCAACAACATCTGGGGACCCCCAGGTTGAGAAAGGCTGCTCTAGACGCAGGGAGATAAGGCAAGGAAGGTTAGGTTTGGGGAAGCAGAGTGCAGGGAAGAAGTTTAATGATTGAAAGGTCAGGGTTTCAAACGAAAGGTTGGTCTCACCAAAGCTGCAACGATATGCACTCACTTGGAAGCCAGGCGGCTCAAACCCAGCAGGGCTTGCTTCCTGAGTAAAGCAGGCAGAGAGGATAGGTCTGTATCGATTTTCAGCCAGGTTCAGGCAGGTATCACTGAGATTTAAGTGGGAGTGTGTTAGGGCCCCAATCCAATACAAAACATGTCAGCCATGGGAGTGGGAAAAGCAACAGAGTCAAATGGCTGACATTTATTTATTTATTTATTTATTTATTTATTTATTTATTTTTATGGCTGACTTAAGCTTCAAAGTCCATCCAGCTTCTCATGGCCCCTGGGAGTTGCCAGTGTTTGAAATTAAAGGTAAAGGTACCCCTGCCCGTACGGGCCTGTCTTGACAGACTCTAGGGTTGTGCGCCCATCTCACTCAAGAGGCCAGGGGCCAGCGCTGTCCGGAGACACTTCCGGGTCACGTGGCCAGCGTGACAAAGCTACTCTGGTGAGCCAGAGCCGCACACGGAAATGCCGTTTACCTTCCCGCTAGTAAGCGGTCCCTATTTATCTACTTGCACCCAGGGGTGCTTTCGAACTGCTAGGTTGGCAGGCGCTGGGACCGAGCGACGGGAGCGCACCCCGCCGCGGGGATTCGAACCGCCGACCTTTCGATCGGCAAGCCCTAGGCGCTGAGGCTTTTACCCAAAATTAGCCAGGCGCATTTTGCACCTGGCTTTTGACTACTTGGGAACAACTGACATTTCCGCCATCTGGGGATCATTGGATGCGGACCGTTTTCACACACTGTAGAATTCTATCATTTCTATCTATCATATCAATTCTATCTATCATATCAAATTTTCACTGTAGAATTCTATCAGTTATACTTTATCCAAACAAGCAGAATGAATTTCTGGAACTGAAATGCTCAGCAGGAGCAGTCACCATTAAGAAAAAGAGGTCGGAACAGCCCAATATACTCTATTTTTCCGTGTATAACACGCTCGTGTATAAGACGATATTTGGGGGGCTGCAAGCAATCACCCGGTCCCACAATGTACTGCCTGTGTATAAGATGAGCCCCGTTCTAAACATTATTTTTGAGTAAAAAAACCTAGTCTTATACACGGAAAAGTACGGGATATGTCCTTGAATCAAGGGACTTTTCTTCCTTTAGGTTCTCAATGTTCTTAACCTAGCTCAAGGCTGCTATCTGAACTAGGCAGATGTTTAACTGAGAAACAATCACAGTCAGTCCATCATTTGAAAAACAAGACTTTAGAGCCATTGGGCCCCTAGCTTTTAATATCCGAGTTTCTAACACGGGCTGCGTTGCCAATTTTGACTCCCATTAGCCTCTGGGTTGGAGGAAAGTAAGAGACTAAATGCATGCACACAAATTGTTCACAAGAGATCTGGTGAATCTGGGCTCTGGCCAAATTTTATCTGAGCCTTGGAAAGCACATAGAGATGAAAGAGGATGTGGGCCAGAGCGCCGCACTTCCTCCTTCAGCTCTATGCTCTTTTTCAAGAGAGGGGGGGGGGAGGTAGGCACTCTGGTCCCCACATGACCAAGGGGGACAGTTCAGACGCACCAGAAAAAGTGGAGGTGGGGAGTGGAAACATTATGCTCACTGACACCTGCCCAAATTACACTGCTTTCCTTTTGGGTCATATTGAGCTAGATCAGCATTCAGTTTGCCAAATATACAGGTGATAAGGAATTGCATTCAGGTGCAAACCTGGCAGAGGAGAGATGGATCGCTTAGTCCCTCTTGTTCGATCCTGCTTGGACAAAAGGGGTGGGGAATCAGTCCTAATCAGTGTTTCTATGCTGACTGCAGGGAATGCAGGCCACGGGCCTCCCAGCAGGCTACTAAAAATATTTTAAAAAATCAGTGGAAGTCTAGGAGAGTTTGTGAGTGCATTTAAAAGACAGAGATGGTCGTCCCTTCCACTATAGCTAGGACAAAGTTGTGTGGGTCCGCGTCGAGACTATTCCAAATAGCCCTGTGTGGTAGCCTTGGGGAAGCATCATAGAACAACTAATAAAGCAGAACAGGTAAAGGTACCCCTGCCCATACGGGCCAGTCGTGTCCGACTCTAGGGTTGTGCGCCCATCTCTCTTAAGAGGCCAGGGGCCAGCGCTGTCCGGAGACACTTCCGGGCCACGTGGCCAGCGTGACAAAGCTGCATCTGGCGAGCCAGCGCAGCACACGGAAACGCCGTTTACCTTCCCGCCAGTAAGCGGTCCCTATTTATCTACTTGCACCCAAGGGTGCTTTCGAACTGCTAGGTTGGCAGGCGCTGGGACCGAGCAACGGGAGCGCACCCCGCTGCAGGGATTCGAACCGCCGACCTTTCGATCGGCAAGTCCTAGGCACTGAGGCTTTAACCCACAGCGCCACCCGCGTCCCCAATAAAGCAGAATAATCCCCCCCAAAAGACTATTCCAAATCCGCACCAAAGAGTGCCCTCTCTGGGAGGAGCGAAGTGTGCAGCTTTCGCTTTCCAGCCTCAGTTTTCCCCATCTGTAGAATGGGAAGCACTGCAATCTACCCCATCTGTGTTACCAGACCAAAAGCACAATACATTTTACACCCCCACTTTTGCTCTTGAAGCGGCTTCACCTGTCATAGTCCATCGGTGATTTTCAGCGGCTCCACGTGAAGCCAAAACAAAGCAAAGCAACCCAGTGTTATAATACGTAGGTAGTGAGATAGCTATAGCACAGATGGTCACTTGCAAGTGGGCGCAAATTCACAGCAGCAGTTCTTTGATACCCATGGCAGGTCTGTTGGGCTGCATTAAGCCCATGTAAAGTTTAGCAGCATTAAACACAGGAAAGTTTAGCAGCAAAGTTTTACAGCAGCATTTACAAAACTCCCAAAGATTCCTGGTCTACCAACGAGCTGATTCAAGTGTGCGGTTAAATCAGGGCGGGGCAGGAGTCAGGAAAAACTGCCAAAATCAAACCTATTTTATAGCCTACGATGCAGAGAATGACTGTGCAGGTGAGAAAACAGTATGTCTTGTTACGTTAGAACAGGAACCAAACAGCCCAAACCCAACTCTGTACTACTTCTTGGGACTTTTCCGTCCAGCAAGTTTTCATACAAGGCTGAACCGCTTTCAAAGCTTTATTTAGGATGCTGCTGCACATGGCTGTGATGTTTTGTGAGAGGGTGGTAAGGCCAACGTAACCCGTATGTGCCCAGTGTTAGAAATTAGCCAGGCACGTTTTGCAACTGGCGCAAGTCCAATTGCAACCATGTGGAAAATAAACATTAGAACACCAATATGGATTCTCAAAGTCGGATTGCAGGATTCTTATTCTCCCTGGCAAAATAAAATATATACACAGAGAGTACACAGATTCGTACCCATTGCAACTTTCCCCAAGCCCATTGTGACTTAGCCTCAGCAGTGTGTGGCAGAAAATGTTCTGTTTTAGAAGTTCATTCATAAACAATGAATAGGTGCCAACTGCAAATAAGTATTAGGCCAACCTAGCATAATAATTTTATTATTTATAGCCCGCCCATCTGGCTGGGTTTTCCCAGCCACTCTGGGCAGCTTACAGCACATATAAAACATAGTAAAACACCAAACATTAATTGCATTTTAAGCTTTATTTTCTAAATGCAAGTAAACTAAACATGCTAGGTTGCATCAAACTTAGAGCATCCGAATCCCCCCCCCCGAGGCAAACTAAAAATTGTCCAATGAAAACCCCTCTTGCTTCAAAAGCTTCTGGAAAGCTCACATTGCTGCACTCTGCACATTCTCAGGGTTTGTTAGGACACATGTGCCGGAATTTAGCCCCAGCATTAGAGTCTGGCACAGATTAAACCCCATACAGTACAAGCCTCTGGCTCCAACTCTGTTAGAGGAGGGAGGGAGGGAAAGAAAGAAAGAAAGAGAATTTAAGTTCTGGCAGCAATACTAGGTAACACCTTCTTAACACCCTCCCCTTCCTTTTTTTAAAAAATGGGGGAAAAACACCAGCCTAGGATTACAAAAGAGAAAGTCAACACACTCACTGGCAAAGCCCTGCGCTCAAAAGATTACTGAAATAAGGGTAAGCTACAGGAATCATCCATACTGTCATTTAACTGTGAATGGTGAAGGTTCTTCTCCAAATGCCTTCCCACACTTTCCCCAGCTCTCAGTCGAAAAGGAGAGGGGTTTGAGAAACCTCCAATTGAGGGATGGCGAAATGATTAGGCGGAGAATGTCATACGGGCAACAGAGAATATGGAATTGTTGAGTTGGAAGGGAACACAAGCGTCATCTGGTCCACCCCCCTGCAATGCAGAAATCTTTTTGCCCAACGTTGGGCTCGAACCCACGACCCTGAGATTTAGAGCCCCATGCTCTACCAACGGAGCTATGAGCCTTCCTACAAGCAGAATGCAAACTGCTAAGCTGGGTGGGTATCTAATGCCACCAAATGCACATTTAGAAGGTGTAAGGAGCAGGGACGTGGGTGGCGCTATGGTCTAAACCACTGGGCCTAGGGCTTGCCGATCAGAAGGTTGCCAGTTCAAATCCCCACAACGGGGTGAGCTCCCATTGTTTGGTCCCTGCTCCTGCCCACCTAGCAATCTGAAAGCACGTCCAAGTGCAAGTAGATAAATAGGTACCACTCCGGTGGGAAGGTAAACGGCGTTTCCATGCGCTGCTCTGGTTCGCCAGAAGCGGCTTAGTCATGCTGGCCACATGACCCGGAAAAACTGTCTGCGGACAAACGTCAGCCCCCTCAGTAGGTTAAGTGAGATGAGCACTGCAACCCCAGAATCCTTCACAACTGAACTTAACTGTCAGGGGTCCTTTTCCTTTACCTTTAAGGAGCCCCAAAGGAGGCAATGAATGCTGCTCCTGTTGAACAGAGCACAGGAATGCAATTTTGTCTGTCGGTGCCTTTATTATCCCAAAGTAAACACACACAAACCCAGAGACTTAGCAACATAGTAAACGGCGTTAAACCAAGTCCATCTAGTTCTGTATTGTCTCCACTGGCAGGCAAGTGCTGCCTCTCCAGGATTTCACGATAGGAAGCATCCTTCAGGTGGCCAAGCTAAGCCTACCCTCAGCCAGCCCCCACCTGGTTGCCTTGCTACTTACAACCAGTCCGTTTGGGGGGTGGCAGTGGCCACGGCTGCCATCTTCCTCCATCACCATGTCAGGCCAATGGTCCATCTAGCTCCACATTGGCTATATTGACCAGCAGCAACTCTCCAGAGTTTCAGACAACATCCACTCCAAGTACGTCTGCTATGGGGCAGCTCTATTAAGTAGGTAAATAAATATGGGGAAAGGAAAAAGGTCACATAGAGAAAGATCCGAAATATTTTCCTTGATGCTTGAATTTGTTTTGATTCTGGATTGTTTCTATTTGATGTTTTAGTGTGTTATAAACTGCTTCGAGATTTTCTTTCTTTAAAATATATAGTGGTATAGAAGTGAAACGAAAAATAATAAAAAGGCACCTAGACATTCCTTCGCGGCAACCGTAATCCAGATGTAAGATCGGCTTTTATATCCAAGTTTCTAACAGTGGTTGTAAATGGGTTTCCAAGATATCGCAAGCAGGGCGTCGGCTACAGGTCTACATCGGTTTTTCAAAATTATCAGATTTCCCCCAGAAAGGATAAAATGGGACAAAATAAATGGCTGCCATACGGATGAGAAGATGTTATTTGGATGGATGGATGGATGGATAGATCCGATTCCACAACAAACCAGCACCAGGAAGAACTCTTAAATCTACAGTCTGGCTCTTCACAAAATAAGTTATCACAAAGCCCTCTCAATGGAACCTTCAGAGATCAGAGTTGCCCTCCCACCTGGCCTTTACTGGCACATAAGAAAACATCTCCTACCAAGTCAGAACATCAGTCTATCCAGCTCTATGTTCTGAACACTGACTCTCTGAACACTGACTCTGAAACAGACCCTCTCTAACCCAATGACCTGTCCTTCAGCAACTTACATCCTTGGGTCCTAAAGAGATTTGGGTGTTGCCGCCATTTTAACGTCACTTTTTTGCACTGTATTATTTCGATGATTTGCGCTATCTTGAGGGCCCTTCTGGGACAGCTTAAATAGCGGATATAAACCATTTCATAAATAAAGAACCCCCAATATTAGCCCATGGGCTCTTGGTGATTATAGCATAGGTACCTACCCGTTTCCCCAAGAGAGCACCCAATACCCATCTGACTGGGTTTCCCCAGCCATTAACTCAAGTGTGGGAAATTCTGATCAACACCAAACTTCGCAAGTGTAGGAACCTGTGGTCCTCTAGGCAGGACTGCCAGCATGGATGGGAGTCCAGCAACATCTGGAGGGCCAGGATTCCTCCTCTGTCATCCTGGTTCAATTCTGAGCAACAGGAGAGCAAGGGAACCCCCCAAAAAGAGAGGACAGAAACTATGGCTCCCCCCCCCCCAAGCCGGAACTCAATTCCGGCACCTCTCAGGTGGGTGCCATTGCCATTACAAGAGAACAAGGGATGCATTCATGGTGAGTTCCAAAACCATTTCCCCCCTAGAAAAATAGCACTGACAACAACTGTTGCCATGGGACAGCTCAGTTGGTAGAGCATGCAACTTTTCATTTCACGGTCACAGGTTCGAGCCCCACGTTGCGTAAAAGATCCCTGCATCACTGGGGGTTGGACCAGATCAGGGTTTCCCAAACTTGGGTCTCCAGCTGTTTTTTGGACTACAACTCCCATCATCCCTAGCTGGCAGGGCCAGTGGTCAGGAATGATGGGAACTATAGTCCAAAAAGAGACCCAGGTTTGGGAAAACCTAAATTAGATTATCCCTGTGGTCCCTTCCAACTCTACAATTCGGTTACCCCTTTCTAGTTATTCACATTGCCTCAAGAAACAAAGAGACCAGGTTTGTCAGCTTCCATTTCACTTATTCTGGGTTCGCATTCCACAAATGAAACGCCCTTCCACTGTCTCCCTCAGCTGATGTGTAGTTCTGGCCCTCTTCTCAAAGAGGAGGAACTGAGGGCGCCTCACTCAATTTCTACAGCTCTAACCCCCCACCCTCAAAGGAAAGGTGGGGAGCTCATTCTCCACTAAGAAAGCGCCTGTGATTCCATGTGTAGGAGATAGTACAGTATGTGCCGCTGGACGACCAAGGTGAGAACCTCCATTGCCAAGAGCAGTGTATCTCGGGAATATCAGATGATGAGGACCTGCAACCAGAGGGGACACTTGCCTCTGTGTGGTGTAGTGGTTAAGAGCAGTGGACTCGTAATCTGGTGAACCAGGTTCGCTTCCCCGCTCCTCCACATGCAGCTGCTGGGTGACCTTGGGCCAGTCACACTTCTCTGAAGTCTCTCAGCCCCACTCACCTCACAGAGTGTTTGTTGTGTGGGAGGAAGGGAAAGGAGATTGTTAGCCGCTTTGAGACTCAAAGGGAGTGAAAGGCGGGATATCAAATCCAAACTCCTCCTCCTCCTCTTCTTCTTCATCTTCTAATTACATTACTTATTACAGTGGTACCTTGGGTTACAGATGCTTCAGGTTACAGACTCTGCTAACCCAGAAATAGTACCTCGGGTTAAGAACTTAGCTTCAGGATGAGAATAGAAATCATGCAGCGGCAGCAGGAGGCCCCATTAGCTAAAGTGGTACCTCAAGTTAAGAACAGTTTCAGGTTAAGAACAGACCTCCAGAACGAATTAAGTTCTTAACCCGAGGTACCACTGTACAAACATTTATGCCCCACACCTACCAATAAGCTCAGCATAGATACATGGTTCACCCCCCTTCATTTTACCTGCACAACAACCCTGTGAGGCGGACATTGGAGGTGGCAACTGGCGCCAAGGTCACCCACCCACTGAGCTTCATGGCTGCGAGGAGCATTTGAACCTTTGGCCTCCCAAGAGCGAGATCAGTACTCTAACCCTTACAGACAAAACACACTTGCAGGGGTAGGTGTCAGGGGACTCCCAAGCAAAGCGTGTGAATCAGATCAGATGAGACAGTTACTACAGGACAGGCCTAGTTCACACCGGCTAAGGGTGGGGGTGGGAATCTGTGTGTGAGATGTACCATTTCAGGGGAAAGGGGGGGGCGCTCTCAAAGGATGGAATGCTCTTCAATACAGAAAAACAAATAAATCCTTGCAACTGGGTATTATCAAGGAAAAAGGCAAGGCTATCCGCCCTCCCTTCTTGCCAGTGGGACGTCGTTTGCAAATAAGGTTACGCAGGGGTCATTCACAAATCCTGGGAGTCGTGGGGGAAGAGGGCCAAAGGTCATGACCCTCAAGCCTAAAAAGATGTGTTATGATGTAAGCAGATGGGGAGAGGGGGGGATTAACAGTTATTTCTCTCTCCCCCCCCCCCCCGTATGGATCCGTCCCAAGAGTGGGAAAACCAGCCCAAGGATTACTCTTCTGCAATACACTGCAGCCACTGCTCCGCAATATGGATGGACAAGTAGATCTAGGCGTCCATGCGTGGGCTGGGGAAATGATTGACCACGTGAGGTTGCAAATAACTCCCTTTAGGAGTCCGAAGTTCAACACTTGGGAGGGTCCCCGAATGCAAAGAAGGTGCCGACTGGCTGTCAACACAAGGCCGACACTTTCACAAAGTTCGCTACCACCAAGGGGTGGGTGGGAGAATCTGGGTCACAGCTCACGGCCCATGCTTCTGTTGTCAAAGTCCCAGTGAGTTCCACCGGGCTTACTCGCAAGCAAGGATAGACACAGGAGGCGAAGCAGGGACCTCAATAACCCACTGTAGCGGCCGAGTTGTGAAAATATGGGTCATGTTCAAGGAGAAAGCCCCCTGCCCCCCCATATAAATATCTCATTTTATTTTCTGTTCTAATGGTTTGGCCTTGTAAGCCGCTTTCCATGCATTGCTGGGAATGCGATGTGAGATTATTCAGGAGCAACCACCTCCAGAGCAGGGTGGGCTGGGAGATTTAGCCCAGAATGTGGTGAAAGCAAGCGGAAGTTAAGGCCGCCTCCTTTAGAAACCCACCTTAGAGACTTTTACTGACAAGCAAGCTTCACTGGCCTGGAGACCTTACCCCTAACACCACATAGAGCAGCAGTAAGGCTTAATACCGGGGCGGGGGGGGGGGGAGCGTATACAGAACTGCAACCTTTTCACACGTCACAAGCCACCTTGCAAACCACCGTCGGAAAGGTCACATATATGGAACCGCAAGAGGCCAAGGAACAGGAAATTTTTCCGGGTCGCCATCTCCAAAGGGCTGGGAGAGGGGAAATGGAGTTAGAGACAGGGGTCATTCCCCCAAGAAACAGTCCAAGCGAGACAGCTACACTGGGGCGGGCGCTTTCTCCCTACCCTAACCCCAACAACCCCCAAATAGTAAAACATGCTTAAAAGGATTGCAGCTTTCTCTATTTTTTTAGGGGGGGGGAGAGGAGAACAGGTTTGAGTACACTTGTCGGAAAAGCAAAGAAAAAGAAACTAACCGCGCGCACCTATATACACACTGCACCCATAAAAAAATAAGAGGGTGGCGAGTTGTTCCAGCGTAACTCCCGTCCCCAAAGCGAAAAAGGCTGCACCCAGCGTTAGGTCTGCTCGAGAGTAACGAAAGGGAGTCAGACCCACCCGCTCCGGGCTGGGGTCTTACTCGCGAGTAGGAAACAAGCCGGAGCAAGGAGAGTTTGAAACACTTTGCCCATGGGCAGGGCTGTCATTCCTTGGGAAGGTGAAACGCTGCAGGGAACCCGGAGGAAGGATCCACCCGGGATCCGACCGCGCGAGACGGCTCACCTGCGCTGAGCTCCGGCTCCTTGCCGGCCGGGCCCTGGCTGCCCCGCTGCTGCTGCTGCTGCTGCTGGTCCTCGTCCGCCGCCGCCGCCCCTGCAGGAGCCACCTCGTCCGCCTTGATGACCATGGCCGGTCTCTCCGCCGCCGCCTCCGCCCGCCTTCCCTTCCTCGCTGCCTCTGGCGAAGGCGCCGCCGCTGCTCCTGGCGCTGCCGCTGCTGCCGCTGCGAAGGACGGAGAGAGCCACTCGCAGCCCCACGTGGTGCGCGCTTCACCTCCGGCGGCCGCTCTCTCGCTCGCTCTCCCACCCTCTGCCCGAGTCAAACTCCGCCCGGTGACGGCGACGGTGCCCCGGCTGGGACAAAAAACGGGAGGGGGCGGAAGAGGCGGGGCAGAAACGCCTTAAAGGGACAGCGGAGTCAGAGGGAAGGGCAAGGGCAAGGGGGGAGGGGGAGGACAGAGGAAAAGGAGGGGAGAAGAAGATGGGAAGGAGTGTAATGACCAAGCTGCAATTTAAATTATTTTCTAAAAAATAAGTCGTGTCTCTTTGCTTCCCAATTTGTATTCCCCCCCCTTCCAGATTTCTTCATTGGAACTTCAAAAAGTACATCATTCTAGGTGCGCTAAACATGGCGAGGCGTAAATGAAAGAAACAGCACCCCGTTTAGAAGGGAGAATAAAGGGGGCAGGGGGACAACCCCCCCCCAAAGCTGTATACTTTACAAAGTTGTTATGGTACTTCACCAGATCTCAACCTATTACAGTATTTGTAAGAATGGATTCACTGAATTTGTCCAGGGTGAATCTGCGTTTATAGTCACGTTGTTCATATGTTGCGAGTTTGTATAAGTCTCCAATCACAGAAGGGAGCAGCATTTTTATTTTTCCAATTCACCTGTATCAGTCTTTTGGCCGTGGTAAGGGCACGAAGAGTCCGTTCATATTGTCCTTTTGTAAGGTTCCATGTGCTGGACATATAATTCAAAAGGATATTTTTGTTCTGTAAACGTAAGGTTGTTCCGTACAGTTCTGTCAGTGCAGGAGAATAGCCAGTGTGTTGCTATGCAAAGCCCCAAAAAACCCGGGGCCCAGTTTGCCTTAAGGACTGTTGTAGCACCTGGGTCACTGAGAGCATCCAGACGAATACTTTTAGTCCTCTCCCATTTAAACAGGCCTCATTGGCTTCAGCTAGAAGTCAGGCATTTAGTGTTGCCCATATTATGCAGTGGTATACTTTTTCTCTGCAGAGATTTGGCAGGCATCATTGCATTTGACATTCAGGTGTCTCTTGAAGACTTTCCCTCTGAAGACAGGCCTAAGCAAGTATTTTTTTAAAAAAAATGTTTTTGGGCATTTTAATGATTATTCTGTATTCCTTCTGAGAGTCTTCTGGACGCTGCCGTGATGTTTTGTGAGAGGGAGGTATATAAATACCTTTAAAAATAAATAAAGAGCAAGGAGCAATAAGAGGATGGTCCCTAGCAGCCACCTAACTAGACACTGACCTGTCAACCCTAATTGCAGCAACATTATAGTTTTTTTCATGTTGCTAAGGTTGCAATCTGATGCACACTTACCTGAGAGCAGGGATGGGGTGGGGAGTTTGATTTTTGTTTGGGTTTTAATGAGAAACTACCTACCTAAAACCTCTCAAACCAATACACAAGCCGAGACATTGCTG